AGAAGATGAACGATGGTACGAAGCCCCGATGGTGCAAAGGCTGCATCATCCACAGGGATGTCACACGTGGCCTCCTTCCCTGGGACCAAAACTCTCCTTTTCTCATTCCCAGAAAAGGTTAAGAATCCTTTGTCAATCCCCAAATCCTCTCTTTCTGCAGGTACCTACTGGATTGACCCCAATCTTGGCTGTTCCTCAGACACCATCCAGGTCATCTGYAACTTCACCAACGGTGGCCAGACGTGTCTGAGCCCTGTCACTGTCTCCAAGGTGGGCACAGCTCAGCCCCAAACAGCCTTTCCCTCACTGCTATTGCCAAATATTGACTCAGGGTGTGTTGTCCCAGGACACTGGACAGTGACCATGRGGACAGAGCACACGAGTTTCTCTTGGAGACAGCATTAGTGACACTCTGAACTGCTCTCAGGAGTTAAAAAACACACCTAAGGCTGTTATTGACTCTTGTCAAGACAAAGCCATGTGTTCCAGTGATGTTTAATGAACTCACAGCCTTAATGTGACCRGTAATTTCACAAACACGCTGCTCTCAAATCCTTTATTGAATTAACTTAAGTTCAGGTCACTCTCACATTTTGTTTTCCCCCACCTGGAAAAGTGAGGTCAGCCTAAATACACAAGTTTGCAGTGATGTTAATGCTGCAGGATGTTTCTTGAGGATGTACCTGTACTAAAAATACAAATAACAGTATCTGGGSCTTGTTTGCAGATGAACCAGAACCTGCTTTGCAAGCTGTATCAAATTCGAAGTTTACATTCTTTTGGACCTTCCAATTTGTTCTGCAAAGCAAAGGATTTGCTGTGTCCCCATGAAAACTTTCCAGAATGATTTGGCCCGTGGCCCTGATGCCCATAGTGACACCAGACCCTGCTCTGGACACCAGTGCAGAGTGAAGCAGAGCACAGGGACCYCCTTTGCTGTCCCACCTTGCACTAAAGCTGCTCCCCTCAGCCCCTGTAACCTCTCTGTCACCTCCACAGCTGGACTTTGACATCGGGAGAGTCCAGATGAACTTCCTGCGCCTGCTGAGCTCCGAGGTGGTGCAGCACATCACCATCCACTGCCTCAACACCTCTGTGTGGAGGGAGGGCTCCTCTGAGCAGCCCTCGGACAAAGCCGTGCGCTTCAGGGCCTGGAACGGGCAGATGTTTGAGGCAGGAGGGCAGCTCAGGCCAGAAGTGGCAGCTGATGATTGCAAGGTACGTGGCTGGGAAAGAGGGAGGAGGTGGAGAAAATGCCAGGCTTAGCTCGAGAAACACCTGTGCTGCTCATCCCGCAAGGGAGAAGGGCCAAGTTTACTTGTTCTCCACTGATTTTCCAGTCTGGGATGATAGAGCAGCTCCTGTGAAGCAGATGGCCTTCAGAGAGAAAGCAAAAGCTGAARTTGTGAAGTTACCTGTGATTTTTGGCAGCAGTTAAATGGCAGGAGGGAGAATGGCCCCACAGGGGTGGTGACAGTGGTGCCACACAGAGCCAGGAGCACAGGGCTGCACTCGGGCTCACAGCATTGGGAGGTTGTGTTGGTGGTACCACTCAAGCTCAGTTTGCATCAGCCTGATAAAGGGTTCCCAAAACGCTCTCTAAACCCACCCCAAACCTGCTGAGAGCCTGAAGGACACTCCCTTGTCCTGCTCAGGGATTTTCAGGCTTACACCTTGTGGAAAATGCTCCTTTCCAGCAGAACCCAGCCCTGGCTCACCAGCTGTGTCTCTGTCCCCTGTCCCCGCACAGATCCAGGACGGACGCTGGCACCGGACGCTCTTTTCCTTTCGGACACAGGACCCTCAGCAGCTGCCCATCGTCAACATCTACAACCTGCCCCCGTCCGAGCCAGGAAAGCAATACCACCTCGAGGTCGGCCCCGTCTGCTTCCTTTGAACCAAGCCATGGAAAGCAGGCTCAGGCTCCCAGCCTGGCCTCACAGGGGCTCTCTGCAGAAGGACAGCTGGGCTGGATCCTTTGGCTCAAGGTCTCCCAGAGCCCCACAGTGATCTACTGAACTCAGCTGTTGTTGAAAGGAGGAGGAGCAGGGCGTGAGGGAAGCGGGTGTCTGTCGGGATGTGAGCAGTGAAAAGGGATCAGGGGACTGAACGCTGCGGTTCCACACTCAAAGCTTTTTCCGTGACCAAAGAAAACATTGAGAGAAACCTCAAGCAGCTTGCAGCGTGTGGGTTTTGTTTGTTGTTTCACACCCCGCCCCTACCCCTACCCATTTTTGTCTGGTTCCTGAGTTACCAAATTTTTTTTTTCCATTTGAAAAAGAAAAAAAAAATAATTAAAAAAATAGAGCTTCCCTCTCAGAGCTTGTTGCCTTCTGGACAGCCACGTGCTGCATCAGGTCTCCCAGGCGGAGCTGCAAGTTGAATCTGGCTGCTCTGTTGTACAGGAAGCATTTTGATGTGCAATATTAGAAGAAACAAAATATATATATTATATTATTTAAAGCAAAAAGAAAAAGGAAAAAAAAAAAAAAAAAAAAAAAAGCTAAGTTCCTCCTTCCATGAGTTTAACCAACACCCCCTCTCACGTTGGTGTTGGAGTAGGGGATTGTCCCGAAGCCAAGAAGGGGGAATGGAAAGAGGAGAGGGGAAGAGATTGGTGCTAAAATAGAGAGAGGGAATGGGCTCGTCTGATTTGTTTCTACCTCTCACTGTGAAATCTCTGGTGCTCTTAAAAAAGTGTCTTATTTTATATATATGACTTTATTTAAGGTTGTGAAGGTGCTACAGTGTCTTGCCACAGACCCARAAACAAGCCCCATAGGATCATCTCTCTCTGGGAAGAGAGGAGATTATGGATTATGTTCCACAGCTGAATAAATCAGAGAAACAGCGGCCTTAAAAGGGATCCTTCAGTGGCCATGGGTGTCAATAATAACCCACACCATGGCCAACATCACTTACAGGATAATTTACAAGCAGATTTCCTTTTTTTTTTTTTTTTTTTTTTCATCAGCACCTCACTGCTTTGGGAGGGGAGTGAGGGACACAGCTCACCTGAAGTGTTGAGCCTCAGAGAGCTCCTTTGGAGTCGCTTGTCAGGTGCTGGGTTGGGCTCTGTGAGCTGCCCACGACTCCCTGGGCTCAGCTCATGTTCAAGCCCAGCTCTGCAAACCCTTCCCTTGGCCCCTCTGTCAAGACTGACATGATGGTACCTTGTTTCAGAACCCAGCCRAGCTTGGAAGGGTTTTGTTTTGTTAAGTTTTGTAGAAATTTAGTCTCTATATGTAAATTTGGAGGATTTTTTTTTTTTTAAAGAGGATAATTATGGTAATCTTTAATTCTATATAAGGAATAATATTGATGTAATCAGAGCTGTACTGTATCAGAAACTCTTCAGTGCCTGTTTGGAGTTTTCATGTCTCATATGGACTATGGATTTTATTTTTTTGAGGAAAAAAAAATTATCTGTGAGTCTCTCTTTGTATATTCTTCTTCTTTTTTTTTTTTGTCACTACTGCCTGCTGGTTGGTTTCCAACCACCATCAGAAAAGGTTAACAGGATCTGTCCCAAATACCTCGCCCTCCTCGCAGCCCCTGCCAGAAATACCTCACCCCCAGGCCAAAATCACCACCACCCATCAGTCACTGCCTCCCCCCACACTCCAGATCTCTCCATCTCTCATCCCATGCCATTGGTTTTGTGTTTTCTCAAGGCTGCATTTACCATTTGTTCTCATTAAAGATTTTTTTTTCCTTTTCTTTTTC